AGAGTGATCTCTTTGGCTTCCTAAATTGATACTTATTAAATTCCCAAGAGAGTTTTCCCAGAGGGTCAAATCCATTGCTGCCTGGAGGATCACTTGTACATGGAGCTGGGAGAAATCTAGGGAAGACTACGTCTGTAGCTTAGATTCCTAGTATGGGGGTCAACGTGCTAAGAAGTCTCCTCAGATCGACTGCATGATTATGAACTTGGACATTTAAAAAACCAAAAGAGGCCCTTGCTTTGAAGATCAATAAATGGACGCCCCAGGACCAAAGTTTTCATCCTATTATTGAGAAACAAGTGGCCTAATCCATTCTCTGTGGTCTTGTCACAATCTGTCCTTGATATCAGCCACTTCCAGCTTATGTCCACCTGATGTCCCTGATGCTGCGTCACACACAGATGCTGCTTCTTGAGACTCCCTTCTGCATCCCCCGGCTTACGTGTTACTCATGCTGTTCTACACAGCATGACACTTTCTGCACTGTTTATCCCACTGAGGTGGCTTCATCCTGTGGGTTCCTGCTTCCTTATTTTCCCTTTCCAGGCAGAAGACCTAAGTTCAATTCCCAGCCAATGTACCTCATGTGCTGTCAGCAGAGGCTTCGTGTGTCGGACTGTGGTGACGAAGAGGTTTTGTTGTGGCACACACACTAAGATGGACTAGAAAGAAGGCCTAGAAGTCTTCCCCAAATCAGCCACTGCAAACCCTCTGGATCTCCGCAGTCCAGTCTGCATCCCCTACGTGGGGAGGACTCCACCAGTGTTTTGTGCCATTGTGCATGGGTTGTCATGATGCAGCCAACAACATTCCAATCCACTTGGAGAGTGTCAGGTGCTATGGTTAGGTCTTCGCAATGCCTGGTGACTCACTCTAAATCCAATTTGTATGATGTATAAAACAAAGCTTATGTCCCTGTCAATGTTGAGACACAGCCCCAAATAAAGTGTTTGATAGCAGGCAGACACTCCTCCTGGCAGGTAGGTGCAGCGACAGATTAAAGTCGGGATTGAAAATCGTTTTGAGAATGATGAGGGCAACGAATGTACAAATGCGCTTTACACAATTGATGTGTGTATGGATTGTGATAAGAGTTGCATGAGCCCCTAATAAAATGATTTAAAAAAAAAGTCTGGATTGATAGATGCGCCATGTAGAAGAATCCCCCCGCCACACACACACACACACACACACACACACACAAACATACATGCTCGCTGGTCATCAGAATCCATTATTTTGTAAATTAAAACAAGGAAGGTTTAGGTATCAGTTATCCAGGTGACGTCACTGGCCAACGCAAACCAAAAATGTATTCTTGGGTTAAAAGTAGTTCATTGCGTTTGCTCTTTCAGATCTCCCAATAACATTTATGATTTCCTTTTAGAAAACAAACAAGATGCAATAGCTAAAATTGCAGGCTTCAGGTTCAGGCAGACCTCGGGGTACTCTGGCCCCTTAACTAAACATCTGCAGTACCTTTGGAAAGATGCTTCATCTCCTGAAAAATCCGTTCACTTATCTTTAAAATGAAACTAATATCAATACTTACCTTATCAGGTTATTGTGAAAAGTGGAAGAATGAATTCATTAAAAGACTCAACATACTAGAAAGAAAAACCAAAAGCCACTGCCACAGAGTCGATTCTGACCCCTAAGAACCCTGTGTAGAGCTTCCAAGGTTGTAAACCTTTATGGGAACTGATAGTAGCCTTATCAAGGCTCATGGGTTTGAATCACTGCTCTTATGGTTAGCAGTTGTGTTAGGGCGGGTTCTCTAGAGAAGCAAGACCAGTGACTCTTGCATGTGTATGTACATAGAAAGAGACTTATATCGAGAAATGGCTCCCAGAGTCGTAGAAGTGGGTAAGTTCAAACTGGTTCAAGTCCATGGATCAGATGTAAACTGAAGGCTTCTCTTGACTCCTGTAGAGCTGTAGGCGCTGTAGAACAGGAAGTAGGAAGATGAAGCAGGAGGCCACAGGCTGGTAGATGCAGAAATGAATGAATCCAAGATCAGTGGTCTGTTGATGGCTCCTGGGATTGGCAAGCGATGAAACAGGAGGCCCACAAACAAGATGCAAGATTCAACTCTAAGTGTAGAAGTAAACGAGTTACCACGGACTGTCAACCTGTATTAGGAGTAGGCCACACCCCAAATGAAACCTCCCTCAATTGTATCAGGACTGTGACCAGATTAACTGCTTGGCTGCTTCACAGAAGATCCCATCATGGAGTTGACCACACTGTGCTAGATCATGTCATGGGAGAATCCTGACCCACCCAAGTTAACATAAAGCCTCACATCAACATCATAGTGCAACTTTTACCTGACAATCCCACCGGGGCTCCAGGCCTTCCATAGTACTCAAAAGTGAGAAATCCTGATTCGAAGCAAGCTCTGTCGTTATACTGTGATAAACTCCACTATCTGATGTCTATACTGTAGCTTTGTGGGTGGTGAGAAGTTGGGGGAATAAGGCAGGTTCATGAGGAAACCAAAAAAGAGCTGTTTTAGGCTGTTTATATAAGTAGTACTCTCCCAAAACCCCAATTTTAATCTCCTTCTAAACCTGTTGTGATGGATTTGATTTTAGGTACAGCGGACCACTATGACGCCTATTTCAAGCTGGTGAAGGTTGAAAAGGTCTTGCTTCCTTTGACAAAGCAGAGAGATGAAGTTCTCACTGGGCACATCAAGCAGGCACCAGGTAACGCTTTGCCACTCGCAGAGGGGACCCAGGACCAGTAGACTATTATCACGTAGCTGCCTTCTAAAATGTGGAATCTGGACTGTGCCCCAGATTAACCGATCAGAATCTGGTTTTGTTTTTTTTTTAAAGTGGCTTTTTTTTTCTTCTGTTCTTTTGTTTGTGTTTGTTTTTAAACATTTTATTAGGGGCTCATACAACTGTTATCGCAATCCATACACACATCAATTGTGTAAAGCGCATTTGTACAT